AATCAGTCTGGAGGGGAGCCTGTGTGGAAAGTAGCAATCAAGCTCCTTCAGCTTTAATTAACTTCAGCTCTAAATCAAGGACATGACACCTTTTCTTCACCTCTACCTTCAAGCTGTGAAACCAGTCGGAGTGTGTACGCTGTTACTGAACAGACAAGATTTCCCTTCTGGCTCCAGAGCCTCTCCAAGCCAGGCTCAGCATCTGCCTTTTCCACTCATGTGCTCCCCAAAATTGGGGCTTAACACCAAGCAGAGCTTAGGGATGGGAGCCAGGGCTTGCAGATGGTTTCCACGCAAAATGGACCTTCTCCCCCGGGTTTTCTCCCTGTCTTGCCTGTCCTGTTTTATTTAGGCTTCACCCCAAGGTGCAGTCAGTCCTGACGTGACCCACTTCCTTTGCAAGCCAGGACCAGGAGCAACAGGATGATGGGTGAGCAACAGCCTGGCCGCATGCGGGCAAGAACAGGCAGCATCCGTCTGGCTGTGCCACATCACTGTTCCCGACCGCCATTCCTTTCTCCCTCTGATGCTTTGGATTGTGAAGTGGAGCCTCAGCCCCAGAAACGATGCAGATATTCGTGTTACCTGGAGGCCGCTTGTGGCCACGCGAGCTGGCCATCAGCCACAGCATCGCATGCAAAGGGCAGCTCCAGCCATCCCCAGGGAAGGTAGGCAGAGCATGCCGGGCACATTGCCGAAAGGCACCGGCTGCAGAAGAGCGGCAGCCACTTCAGAGGAAGGGAGCCGGAGATATCAGAAACAGGGACGGGAGGCAAGGGAGGCTCAAGGTGCAGAAAGCAACATCAAACACTTGAATGGAAAAAGAAAAATAATTCCTAGCACAGCTCTTTGGCTGTCCTCCGCACAGGGAAAGGGGTGTCCTTGGAGCTGAGCTCTAGCGAGGCATGCAACAGCTTCAGCAAGGGTTAGAAATACCACGTCGCCTGGGAATTTTAAGAGCAGGCAGGACAAAGCAATAAGGGAAGGTTTACGCAAGCAGAAGCAGGGGATGGGAAGAGAAGAGAAATAAGGGGGGGGGGGGGGGTCGCTCATGGCTCTACTCACGCACACCACAGCTCTGCAAACCCCTCACTGCATGATGTCCCCCATCTTCACTGTACAACGGCTACAGCGCCGAGAGCGTCAAAGGGCAAGGATGGGGCCAAAACCCCTTTGCTTTGGACACACCCTCCAGCTGCCTTGCCAAGGTCCCACCGTGCATGGGGACAAGCGAGGACACCGGTGGCTTCTGCAGCCCCTGTGGGGCTCAGGATAATACCGACAGGGCTGGGTAGCCTCCAACAACTTCACTTTTGCCGCAGGCTCATGTTGGCAATCAGCTCCTGACGATCAGGGGGCTGGCGGTAAATGGCTTCTGTCTGCCAGCTGGTGCTCCCCCATGTTAGCTCTCTCGCTGTTTTAATTAGCTGGAAAGCGAGCAGTGTGGTCCCTGCAGATTTCCAGCTTACAGAGTCTGCTGTGGCACCCGGTCCTTGAACCTCTGCGTGGAAAGTCAGCCTGTAGCGCTTTGCCAGGGGAGATATCTCCATGCACATGCTGGCTGTGGGGCAGGGGAAAGCGAACTGCCATGGAAGGAGAACCATCTGCCTCCTTGAGGGCAAGCGCGTTCACTCTGAAACCTACTGCTGCCATGACAATCTGTAACTGTTTCCCAGTTTCATCGCAGAAGTCTGGAGTGTCGCATAATACCACTGCTTTCAATAAACACTTTCTGCCAAGCTTTTCCTCTTTCATCTGCTCTTAGGGCATTATGGGTGAAGATCTGCTTCATGTTACACACTCAGGAGACACACAGCACTAATTAAATGCCATATGTAATTTAGAAAAAGAGGGCTGTTGCAATCATGTAAAGTTTACCGTAAATATTGAGCTGAGACAGTGGCAGGTCTAATGATTTGCGGCTGAGGCATCCCAGGCCTAGCTGCACGATTACAGAGGAGGTCGCTCAGGAACTGTGTGGAGCTTGAGCTCAGTTTAATGGGTCTGAATGAGCAAGCTCATCTCTTTCATTGCCAACAGAAAACTGTCTCAGTGGGGATAAGGTGTGGGCCTGATGATCCTGGCCTCTCCTGGAGGAAAGTGAAGTCCCTGGGACGTGGCCAGAAAGTGTGATGGAGATTTCTCCCTTGCCTCTCACTGTGGAGGTCCTTCCTCACTCAGGCTGGTCTCTTTACCTTCTGCCGGGATTGCCTGGTCAGTAAAAGCAGTCCCTTTCCCCCCTCCCAGTCTCTCAGGTGACTTGTCTTTGTCCCCTTCTTAGGGCTTCTTCCTGGGCTTGTCCTGCAGCATCACCAAAAGCTCCCAAGCCACAGGACTGATGCTCAGGGTCTACACAGGTGCTGGCAAACAAAGCAGGATCTGTCCTACTTGCACTCACAAGCCAGCTGGCATCACAGAGTTTGTGTCGCCATGGCAAAGCTGTCTCATCCCCGCAGAGGATGGCCTCAGGTGGCTATGATTACTTGTGGCACGGGGACTTGGCACACTGGGGAAGCCCAGTACCCTGCTCGGTCCCTCTCCTCATGTCACAACTACGTGACAAAACCCGAGCTGTGTGAAGTCAGCCACGTCTCCAGGCCTAGCTCAAGCAGTCACAGTGGCAAATGCCTCCCATGTGCACTAGGCTGATCAAAGACCTTGCTTGGATGATGTTTCTCTGGGCTTCTACGGCAGCCTGACAATGCGGAAAAATGCTGGAGAAAGCTGCCATGGCGCTGGGCTCCAATGCAGCCAAGTGATCCTCAGCCCAGCTCTGGTGCAGCGTGACCCTGCTGGGCAGGGGAGAAGGTGAGAAGGCTCCTGCCAAAACATGGGTGCTCTGCCAGCAGATTGCTTCCCACCTCCCTCATGCCCCCTTTGTCCTCCCTTCAGATCTCTGCTTCCAACCCCTCACTTCGCCCTGCCTTCTCACTGCTGCTTTCTGCCCCTGTGGATGGCCCCCACCCAGCCCCACACATTTATCACCTGTCCTCCACCTGCCCTCTCACCATCCCTCCTTTTCCCTTTCCTGCTTCTGTCTCCATCTCCCACGACTTTCTCTTGAACACCAGCAGTGTGAGATCCATCTTAAACCCCTCAGTTTTACTTCTTCTGTACGCTTCTGCAGTGTCTGTAAAGTCAAGGAAAAATAAATTACGCCCTGCTAGTGACCTGGGAGGACCAGACTGTGCTCAGACGGCTTGTACAGCTTCCACCGTCTCCAGCCCAAACTGCTGAGCCCCATATCGGGCAGAGATTGTATCCAGCACACAGCAAATGCGGCAGGTGAAGGAAATTACTGGGGTTTATTCAGGTCAAGCAGGGGAGAAATTCCAACACCTTCTGGTGAATGGGATTTTTGTCCCACCACGCCATCCCCACAGCACTTCCCATCCTTCCCGTGGTCAGGCCCGGAGGGGTGGTTGGCCCTGCTGTGAGGTGCTACTGAGCTGCCACCACAGCCAAAGGCCCCTCCATGGCTGCTCGGGGCAGCAGGGGACAGAGCAGGGGAAAGTTTTGCTCCCAGGCAGACATGGATTCCACAGCAATCCCACAATGGTGGCCGTCTTGGAAGATGTCCCAACCCACTGAGTGATGTTGGCCTCCCACTCTCCTAGAAACCCTCTCCGTCAGGAGGGGTACTGAGGAGACAGGACTGAACTAAGTGCACATGGGTCTGTTTCTTTCTCCACCTCACCACAACTGTCGCCTGGCTCCGCAGCTCATTTTGCAGCTTAGCTACTTTCTTCTGCTTTGGTGACAGCCATCAGTTCACTCACAATCACCGTCACGTGGAAAAAACTGCCTGGCCAAGTCAGTAGACCACACACACGGGGCTGATATCAATGAATAACGTCACTGCTCAGAGAGCAACAGGTCCTTCAGGCCCAGAAGGAAGGGATGAAACTCCACGTAGCAAGGAAAAATCAAAGAGGAGGCAGCAGTCCCTCAGGAATTTGCAAAAGGCAAACAGAAATTGAGCAGAGGGATGAATCAGGTGGAACAACATGGTGGAAGGAGGAGCCACCAGGTTTTTTAGCAAAAACTGGGGATGGCTCTCAGGAAATATTTCTGAACTGCAAGCAATGTTAGGAAATGGGACAGTGTCCTGCAGGATCTGCTTGCAAGAACTCGAGCCAGGTGAGACAGAGCTCTAGGAAACATCCTCCAGAGAGTACTTTTAGTGGGGCAGGGTGGAGGGAAGAGTCTGGACAGACGGTCCTTTCCTCCTCCTTGAGCTTCAGAGATGCCACAGGTGCAGAGGGGAGGCACGCAGAGGTGTTGGCACACAAGCCTTTCCTTTCTTCGCTTGCTGTGGCATAAATCATTTGAGTATGACTAGTGACTGCCGCAGAGTTTGCATCATTGAGCTGTTGGCACAGGCGGCCGACCTCCTTGTACATGAGACAGCATGGCAAAGGCCCTCTGATCTGGATGCCGGGGGTAGGGAAATGGATGGAGGTGGACTAGGGCTGCCCCTGGACCATGGGAAAAGGACATGGGGGTGGGGGACAGTGTTTTACCGCTTGGGGTAGGGCACAGCACCCCAGCACTGCAAGGGAGAGAGGCTGCCAGCTACTCTATTGACACTCAGGTCCCCATGCACTCTCTCCACCCTTCACACCCATGCTCTGATGTGCTTTTAAGAGCCTTCATTTCCGACCAGGATGTTTTCATTTTGGTTGCCTCCCTCTTAGACTTTCAAGGTGCTGCACAAAGTTAGGAAGCTGGGAAAAAAAGGACTTAGAACCCGTTGAAGGAA